TTGTTTTTTGGCTTAGCCACTTACGATTTCTTTTTACCAGCAAAAGTTTTGGTAGTAAAACTTACGGTTTTTTTTGATTCGTTTTTTGATTCAAAATTTACGGTTTTTTTTGGATTCGTTTTGGTAGCAAAATTGGTACTTTTTTTGTGTGAGAAGATCTGGATGTATGCTGGTCTCCACGACTAATAAATGTGAAGAAACCGGCAATGCTAATGTAGAAACGCACGATATAAGTCGATGTGAATGCGTGAGGATTGATGGAACTAATATGCATGTAATAAGAAGCCGATAATGATAAAGTTCTCTCAGCATTCATTTATCAATATGAAAGTAAAAAGAAAATAAGTTTTTTTTTTCAGATGCCTTCGCAATACTGTTCATTTGTTCATCGTACAGCGAAAGGTTTTCATGTGCCTGTTAAAACAGTTCACCAGTCCGTTGCTTCATTTTCGTATCTCTGTGTGCAGAGGAGAAAAGAAGATCGGGACACTACCGAGAACACAGGCAGTTCATGATAAATGATAAGTGCAGAGGCGATTGCCCATACTGAATGAATTTCCATAATGTGTAAATTCTCCCATTCACGATGAATTTGACTGTATTTGTTCCATCCGAATCTCGCTTGTATGCAGTTGAAATATCTGAAATGAAATGGCTGTTTGAAATGGTGAGCAGTTATTCAAAATTTAAATACCTGCGTACTGAGTCCACTTTACGAGAGTTCATTACCGCGGCTCGCCGCCCTTTTTTCTTACTCAGTTAAAGGTTTTCCTTCCCATTGCATTAACCACCTGGTTTGCACTTTTATTCACAGAAACAGGTATCATTTCTCCAAGTACATCCCACCCACTGAAGCTCATTGTTGCCATTTAATGCATTGTTTGTTATCATCACGCCCGTTTCCTTCATGCATATTCAGCACTGTGTTCTTGTTGCATCATGATTCCTTCCTAGGTAGGGCATTTATAATGGTGTGAAGCTGCCTATATAAGGCCGCTGCTACTGTGTTAAGGGTATGCGGTGTGAAGTGTTATGCTGGCGGCTTTGGCGACCAACGAAGGACACAGATTCTCCAGCAGCTCGAATCGTTACCAAGGAATCGACGACCCAGCCCATGATCCAAAGAGCTATCGGAACACTGGGCCAGCAGATGAGGCCTCCAAGGTCTCAGCCCAACATCCTTTCTGCGCGAATCCCTTGCGTCTTCCTCTTTCCGCTACATTTTTC